CACCCCTTGGAGGGACACAGGGATCCTGGGGCACCACAAACACTCACTCTGCACCCTGCCAGGCTGCACCAGCCTTACCTGCAGCTGTCACATGGATGACATATCCATCCCCCACATARAGGGCCCAGTGCTGGTAACCTTGCCGTTTGATCTCAATCAGGTCCCCAGGGTTGGGATTGGACGTGTCGTGTGCCATGTCAGCAATGTGCATTTCTCCATTTTCAAGAGTCTTTGGCTGTGAAACACACAGTAAACCCTAACCAATAGGTTTACTACAGTTTTTGAGAAGAGCAAGGATAAAATCATTTTTTTCCACAGAAAGAGCCCATGGGTTGTATCTGATAAAATGAGGATGTGGGCAGAAAGGCTGCGCCATTCCTCAGCAAAACACTGGAGGCGGATGGCAGGGTAAGGAATAGAGAATTTGTTTGCAAGTGCTTACAGAGTACCACAAACATCATCACAGGCAAAAAAGAAAAACAGTTGTGACAACCACGCCACTGCTGATGGGGATCACCTTGAATGATCCTATTCTTGACTTGTTATTTCTTAATGGGACGGCATGGAGAAGCAAGGCCAACCTGCTGAACTTGCACACAAAATTATACTCAGCTAGGAAATTATTTTAGACATGATGAGTTTGGGATTTTACATTTTTCTAAGACTTTCATTTAACTCTTTCTATAATGGGCAGCAAAGGCTGGGCAGAGATCGGGGGCAGCCAGGGAATCCCTGCCTTTCTGTGAGCTCTTCCTGCTGGCCCATCAGTGTTCTCTTTCTCTCTGGATTTGACCCTCAGCAAGCACACCCACACAGTGGAAAGGCACAGCACAGCTCTCTCTACCAGCATGCAAACATTTGTTTGACATATAAAGTAAGACATAGGCTGGAAACAAGACAAGCAATTATACTTCGTGCCAGGCATGCTAAGGGAGAGTGGAACCAATAAATCAATTGGAGGCATCTGCCCCATAACAGTAGGGGTAACACCCAGGTTTTAATCCCTGGGAGGTGGCATTGAGTAAGAGGGCAGTGTCAGGGTGCAGACAGAGCACAGTGACCCTCCAGTTGCAGGGGCTGTGGGCAGCCCAGRGGCAGTGCTGCTCTGGAGCCCACGCCTGGCCCTTGGCTGTCCCCATGCAGGGTGCAGGCTGTGTCCCAGCCCCGCGGCGAGCAGCGAGCAGCCAG